CAAGGCTTTTAGCCAATTCGAGACCTGTAATTATGGACTCATACTCGACCTCATTGTTAGTCAATTTCATAGTTCTAATAGACCACGATGCCAAACCCGGACCCTTTCACGTTCGAGGCCCCATCCGAAAAAGGGTCCAGATTCTCGAGGTAGTCCCTGAGGTTAACAATAATTCCTTTTTGACTTCGGGTATTAAGGCCGGCATAATGTCGGCCACAAAGTGTGCCAAAATTTGTGATTTTATGGCGGTTCGGGGTCGATACTCAATATCGTATCCGCTGATTTCGACGGCCCATTTGGACAACCGGACCGAGAGATCGGGTTTGTGTATGATGTTCCTCAGTGGGTAAGAGGTTATGACACATATGGAGTGGCATTGAAAGTACGGTTTTAACTTCCTGGAGGCGCTTAACAAAGCGAGCGCTAATTTTTTAAAGTGAGGATACCTTGTTTCGGCCTTACCAAGAGTTCTATTGACATAGTAAATAGGAAATTACGTACCTTTCTTTTCCCGAACTAAGACTCCACTTACTGCCACCTCGGAAACCGCCAAGTACGTATAACTGTTCGTCCGCCTTCGGAGTGTGTAGCAGGGGCGGACTCGGTAGGTACCGTTTGAGTTCTTCCAATGCTTGTTGGAATTCCAGGATCCAGGAAAAGTTATTCTTCTTCTTCAAAAGTGAGAAGAACCGATGGCTTTTGTCCGAGGACCTCGAAATGATTCGGCCTAGAGCGTCTATACGCCCGGTCAGTTTATGAACAACCTTGATGTTATCTACCATGGTGATGTCTTCTATGGCTTTGATTTGTCGAGATTGATCTCAATCCCTCGATTTGATACCATGAACCCAAGGAATTTCCCTGATCGGGTTATCCCGAATGCGCACTTCTCCGGATTAAGCTTCATATTATATTTTTTCAATATGTCGAAGGTTTTTTGCAAATGTTTCAAATGGTCCTCAGCTCGCAGGGACTTGACTAACATGTCATCAATATAAACTTCCATTGATTTTCCTATATGTTCTTTGAACATCTGGTTTACTAGGCGTTGATATGTGGTACCGGCGATCTTTTAATCTGAATGGCATTACGTTATAAAATAGGCGCCAAATTTAGTGATAAAAGAAGTCTTTTCCTGATCGCCCGGGTCTATCCGAATTTGGTTGTACCCGGAATAGGCATCGAAAAAATTGAATATCTTGTGCCCGGGCGTCGCGTCGATCATTCGATCGATGTTAGGCAAAGGAAAAGAATCCTTAGGGCATGCCTTGTTCAGATCTTTGTAATCTACACACATTCTTAGCTTATGTCCTTTTTTAGGCACTACCACTATGTTAGCTAACAAGTCTGGGTATTTAACTTCCCTAATGGACCCTATTTTAAGGAGTTTAGATACCTCATCCTTGATGAATGCATGATTGACCTCAGACTGTGGTCTCCTCTTCTATTTGACCGGGTAGAACTTCAGGTCCAAACTCAGTTTATGAGTGGTCATTTCTGAGGGGATCCCTATCATGTCAAAGTGGGACCAAGCGAAACAGTCTATATTAGCTTTAAGAAATTTAATGAGTTTTTTCCTAAGCGCGGAGTTATCCCCGTGCCTAGGTATACCTTTCAATCTAGTAGGTGTTCGATCAATATGACTTGCTCCAACTCCTCGACCATCAATTTGGTGGCGTCGGTATCATCAAGGGCTATGAACGACCTTGGAATTCCGTAGTCTTCCTCCCGGTCTACTCCCCGCTCCTCCAGTTCGATCGGAGCCGACATGGGTGATTGCTATTTAATTTCATCCTTTCTGGTTGACACATATTTCGTGATGTCGAAATTGCAGGCAACGGGGTTACCTCATCGACTGCAAACATTTTCTTTGCGGCTGGTTGTTCTCTGTAGACCGTTTTGATTCCCCCGACGTCGGGAACTTCAGTGCCTGGTGTAAGGTAGAAGGTACCGCCGCCACGTTGTGAACCCAAGGCCTTTCGAGCAAAGCATTATATATCATGTCCCCTTCGATTACATAGAATTTTTTTCTTGGATCATCTCAGTGATGTTTATTGGTAGGGTAACCTCCCCTTTAGTGGTTTAGCATGCCATGTTAAATCCGTTCAGCACCCGGACTGCCGGCACTATATTATCCTGTAACCCCAACTGCTCTACGACCCTCAATCTGATGATGTTGGCCGAGTGACCTGGATCAATTAACACACATTTAACTCGAGATTTATTGATAAGTACATATATTACCAGTGCATCATTATGAGGTTGTACGATGCCCTTAGCATCCTCATTGCTGAACGAGATTGTTCCCTCCGAGACATAATCTCGGATGCGCCTTTCCCTCGTGATGGATACTTTAGTGCATTTTATTATTGGCCCTTGAGGGACATCGACCCTTCCAATGATCATGTTGATGACGTGCCGAGGTTCCTCCTGTTCGGTCTGTTTGTTAGCGTCCCTATTTCTGAAGTGTTTTTGGCTCGATCTCTCAGAAACTCTCGTAGGTGCCCCTTATTAGACAACCGACAACTTCTTCTCCCATTTGCCGGCAATCCTCGGTCATGTGGCCATGAGTGCCATGATAATTACACATTAAATTAGGGTCTCTCTAGTTAGGGTCATACTGAAATGGTCAAGGCCACTTGGTTTCCTTTATGTGGTCGATGGCCGATACGATGCTGGCAGCATCTACGTTGAAGTTATATTCTGACAATCTTGGTGCTTCCCTGGGCCCGAGAGGCCTGTCTAAACCATTTTTGCTCATCAATCATCGGTTATTGGACCCTCGGTCGCTTCTCCTTTGGTTCCTCGTGAGGTGACGCCCAGACCTGTTTCCCCTTTGATCTCCATTGTATGGCTGATACCGATATCGGATTGGTCTCGATTCAAGATTGACGACTCTCTTGGACCTATCGTCAGTTCTAACAGGATAAACAGACTCAGAAAGGTCTCTGAGTTGGTCGTCCTTGACTCTGATTTTTGACTGATATCTTTGAGGACGTTGGCCCAAGTTACTACCGGGTACTCTACCAAATTTTGTTTTAGCTGATGCGAAGCCAAGGAGCTTCAGGGGTTAAGTACTTGAGTGAATGCCTGAACTGCCCAATCATCGGCAACCGGAGGCAGGTCCATCCGTTCCATCTGGAACCTTGACACGAACTCCCTGAGCATCTCTTTATCTCTTTGCTTAGCTTTGAAAATATTTGATTTCCTAGTTTCGACCTTGATGGACTCGGCATGGGCCTTCACAAAAGTATCTGCAAGCATAGAAAATGAATCAATAGAATTTGGCGGTAAGTTGTGATACTGTATCATTGCTCCCTTTGACAGAGTTTCCACGAACTTCTTCAACAACACCGACTCGATTTCATCTTCTTCCAAGTCGTTCCTCTTGATGGCACATGTATAGGAGGTCACATGCTCGTTTGGGTCCATGGTTCCGTTCAACTTTGGGATATCGGGCACACGAAACCTCTTCGGGATTGACTTTGGTGCAGCGCTCGAACGGAAAGGCTTGTGGATAAAATTTTTGGAATCCGCTCCTTTCAATACAGGGGTGCTCTCGGGATTTTATCGACCCTGGAATTATACGTTTCCATCTTCTTGCCTCAATTTTATTTTTTCCTGATTCCACCCGCTTTGTCAATGCTTCAAGTATTTTCATTATCTCGGGGTTGGCCCCGGGCTCAGCTTCGCCCGACCTCTCGATGGTTTGTTCGTTTCTTCGGGTGCTCTCCCAAGATTTCTCGGGCTCCACCCTGCTAGGGGGTGGCCTTGATTCTACAACTGCGCTATCACCGCCTATTGAGCCCGCGATATTTCGAAGACTAGCTGCACGTTTGTCCCATCACCTTCTCCTTCGAGCGTTTCTCGAACTGTTGGTCGGGGACCTCCACGAACGTTGTTTTGGGGTCAGTGGGAAGGTTGATGTCGATAGCAACTTGTAAATTGGCATCGATCAGATTGGCAACTGGGGTCCCGTTGGGATCAATAGGGGGCACCTCATTGCTAGGCACCAGGTTATTTTTCGCCATGATGGCCAGACTCAGCCTCAACATTCAAGTGAGCAGACTGAGAATTTGATATTTTTTAAGCTGACCTAAAATTGAAACCTTAAATAACAAGCGTAAAATGGAGTGTGGATTGGATATTTGTATCAAACCGCCACTACTATCCTTAGCACAATGGTGGTCGCCATACTATTTACTCTTAAAATGGATAACAATTGAATGTATACGCGGTTTTAAAAATATGTGGATTGATTAAACATAAATAATCAAGAATGTTAGAAAAGTGAGCTAAAGACACAATGAATAATCAAACCAATCGTAAGTAATGGCCTAGCTTGAATTTGGATTGGGTAATGGTTTCTGCCCTCGGTTGGGTCTTGGGTTTGAAGCCAATCAAGAACAAAGAACAAAAGTAAAGTAAGGACTTTGCAGTAGCTAGAAAGTAGAGAAATAACTCTGTATTGCCTTGGTATGCATGTTACAATGTGCCCTTTTGATATAAAAGTTTCCCCTTTATATAGTTGGAGAGTTTCATCCCTAGTACAAGTCTAAAAAAGGTAAAAATCTTCCTTTGTCACTAATTACTAATCTGTTACCGATATCGGGCGAGATCTACGCCGATATCCAGTTGGGCGCGGATATCACGAACCTCTGTTAGTTGTATGCAACCGCCAGTGCGCTTCCCGAAGTCTCAGAATCCCTCCCGGATCCGGGGTGCGTCGTTTTATCAAGTCCGATGGCCAGCATTTTGTTCCGGCCTTGGTACAAGAAGTTCTCAGCTTCGATTTCGACCCCGTGTAATCATATCCTTACTTCGTTTATTCCACCAAGGAATCCGGTATATGTTACCCTCGGTTTCACCCGTATACGAAACTCAAGCAAAATCAGAACATCTATATTTTCTGACATTGATCGTAACTTTGTTTATATATTTATGAGAAAATTAAATTACATTTTGCGATTAACATTCAAGCAGAAGCAAATAATATTAAGTCAGATAATTGATATATATGAGTAATCAATATGATGAGGCAAAAAACTACTTCTTTGGATGTTCCGTTTCTAGTTTTTGACAATTGTAATCTTCTAAGTCAAACGAGGAAAGAAATTCATGACCTATAAAAGGAGAAGGCGGACAGACAAGTTCCCAATCAATTGAAGGAACTACGTAATCAGTTCTACTGCTGAAACTAGTATCCACTAGAAATGGTTCTGTCCAAAAGCTTCCACTATTTTCCATTAATATTGCTTCTTCTTGAAAAGCTTGATGTTCTTCACTTGATGACTGCTTGGGTGACCACTGGGAACTTTCCAGTACAATTTCGTAGGATCTCATACAATTATTAGGACTTATTGCATTTTGATTTTCCACACTCTTTCTTCTTGTACCGCTGGCCTGATTGATACTCTTACTTTCACCATCACTTGAATTTGACGCATAATAATTAGCGCGCTTCTTAAGAGAGGTGTGCCAATGATTTTTTATCTCATTGTCTGACCTTCCAGGCAATTGTGCAGCAATTGTCGACCACCTGCATGCAAAGGTACGTAACTACCGTCAGACCTCTCTATAACATGCATCATTTATGACAACACTTCAATAAAACAGTCAAGCTTTTTTTTAGAATCAATTTTTATGTTATGTTATAGTATACAAGTTCTATATAATAGCATTTCACTATAGCAGCCAAAAAATATCGGAATAGAAGTTGTTATAAAGAGGTTTGATTGTATATATGATTCATTTGTTCAATTGTGCAGTTGGCTCATGACTCGGCTTCGTACGTGTTAATTAGCTTGTAAAATTGGACTCATAAAATTAAGAAGAATTTTTATTACCTATTTCCAAGTTGAGCATGCAGCTTCAAGATGATGTCGTCTTCTTCTTTTGTGTAATTCCCTCTTTTAATATTAGGCCTTAAATAATTCATCCATCGAAGTCTGCAGCTCTTTCCACACCTTGCTAGACCTTTACGTGCGAGAAACAATAATCAGTTAATATATGTGAAAGAAAATATGTTCTCAAATTAAACATTAAAATGAACCAATTCTCACCAGCATACTTAGGAAGTTGGCGCCAGTTCCAGCAGCCATATTTAGTAACATATGCTACTAACTTCCTGTCTTCTTCAGGAGTCCAAGTCCCCTTCTTCTTTCCATTTTGGTCGTAGCTAGGTGTTCTCACCATCTCTCACTCTCTTCTCTCCAGGAATAAAACACACACACACACACACACAAAGTTATAATTAAGTAAGTGGAGAAACTGTACGTACCTCTTTCCTAGACACCTGAGTCTATTTATAGAAAGCGAGGAACGTGTAGCACGTTGCAAAATGGGGCCTTCTCTATGAATGAGGTCTTTCTCAAATGGAAAATCCTTTATCCTTCGTCAACGCCTTTTTCTTTTTTCTTTTTTGGGGTTTTTTCAGGCTAGTACAATGAACAGCACCTTTCGACTCGACATTTCCTAACAAATAGACCCACTTGTGGTGCGAGTGAAATTACACGGAAAACTATACCACATGACCAAAGGGAGAAGAAAAAAATGGAAAAATGAAAGAAATCAATTGACTACTTATCAAGCTATAGAATATTTACTAAGAAGAGTGAGGGGAAAATTGTCATCAAGTATAAATAAGAAGCTTCAGTTAAATTGTATCTAATTTTATAAAAGAATTATTTTGGAATAGAATAAAAATAAAACACTACTAGTACTTATCACGCAAAGCAAAACGGATTAAGTATACAATAGTTGTGGGGTCAACATGTCCATTCCCCACCCCCTAAATAAATTAAATAGATCTTTTAAAATAACCAAGCATTGCTGGAAAAAAAAAAGGCTTTGTTTTTATCTCGTGCAGTACAGTATCCATGATCATGCTCTAAGTCACAAAGATAGTAAAATAAAAACAATGTGCAACTTAAATGTTATCACTCAGTTATTGTATTTCATTTTTTCCACAAATTATCACGCTTTAAATTTTGTCACGTTCATATTTCAGTTCTCAGTTAGGTCTTTCTATATAATTTCGACCAACATTTATTGGAACTATTCTTATTTAAAAGCAATACAACATAGTAGCATTTACAACATATATACATGTACGTTAATATATATTCATTGAAATATCCTGGACTGCCTTTTAAAATCTAACTGTTAATGTATGGTTGATCAACATTCTGTAATGTGGGGTGTGCGCATTTCGATTACTTGTCTTTAGTTTAAGCTGAATATATATAACTTTATGAGATTGAGGAAGAGATATAAGGAGGACCAATAGAAATCAACGACTGGAATAAGGATGGTAATTAACAGTATGCCCTACTCAATCTACTCATAATCAAAATATGGCTTCTCCTCTGCTGTGGATTCAATATAGAAGCTAAGTTAGAATACACTGTTTTTTATTAATAGCTGTATGTGTTTAGTACTGTAAATATTTCAAGTGGCATAGTAATTAAATAATGTACATGTGTTGCACTTCCAAAACGTTTTCGCGTCAAACTTGCCTAAACCTTCGTCTCTTTTTTCAAATTTGAAAAACAAAACTCACAATTTATTATGTGAAAATTCAATTCTGTTTGGCTGTATAAATCTAGAAAAAACTCGGTCATACACTCAACAAAAACATAGTTCACGCACACATACTTTAAGGACAACACTATCAAAATAAAACCTGTTTTTCCCATTCCTGTGACTCTCTTGTTGAATTTAGTTCCCAACACGAACAACAAATTAAAGAGGAAAATCATTGGACCATTCAGTAGAATCTGAGAGAGTGACAATTGGTATACTCACACGCCCTTAAGTCTGAACACTCCACCTTGGTATAAGTGATTATTCGGAAATCGGAATCATTCTTTTAAGTTAAACAATAGAAGGATAAAAATACTTTCTTTGTCCTAATTTATGTAGCACTATTCGAATTTGGAAAGTCATAACTTTTTAATTTTAATTGCGAATTGGAACATAAAATCTTTAAATCATTTTTTTTTAAAAAAGAGTTTATGGAAACTACGTAAAAACTACCATAAATCACAATGATTAACAATTCAAAATATTTAAAAGGCATATGAAAAAAATTATAGTAAAAAAAACTCGCAAAATTCGAATGGTGCCACATAAATTGGGATAGAGGGAGTAGAAATTTTAGCTAGCATTTGGACATAGATTTAATTAAAAATTTAAGAAAAATTAAAGTTGTATTGAAAATTGAAGTTGTATTTGGAAAAACAATCTGCATGAAAAAAGGTTAAAGTTTTATGGTGGAAGAAAAGATTTTCACCCAAAACTGGCTTGGAACATGATAGTTTTTCTTAAGTTTTTTATAAAAAAAAATTGATCAAATTTCATAAACAAATAATATTTTAATAATTATTTTTGAAAAAAAAAGTAAAAAAGAAAAATCTATGTTTAATTACTCCATGCGTTTACGTGCCAAATCATTACGTCAGTATTTTGAGTGAATATTTATGCTTCATCCATATGTTTCAGTCACTTTTTGCAGACCCACTTAACGCATCGTACAACAAATATCAGACAGTGGACCAGTCAACATATGGTCTTGAGGAGGCCCCAGGAATATCACCATCGGAGCCGCTAAATATGACTTCTTTCGTATTATTTCCCTCTTTTATGCAACATACTTAAAAACCCGCTTAAATAATATGTAGCAAATATTTTTTGCTATATATTTATCAAAATTGGGAGAAAACCATTGAAATCAGCTCTTGCTCATGCGAGAGATATGGAGCTAAGAGAGAACATTCTGGAAATAATCGTGAATTGCTTCATTTCTGCAGTTGAATTCACTAACTTTATGTGTCTATACAACGCCAATTTATAAGCAAATGAAAGAAGAGAGGAAGAGAAATCGAGCTGGCAATGAGCTGACCCACTAACCACTAACTACTCCTAACCATCATTAACTACTTTAACTACATCATGAAATAATTAGAGATACAGTGTGTTGCAATATGTGAATGTTATGTCTATGTACATTTCTCAATACATTGCTCAATATCCCCCCCCCCCCCCCCCCCCCCCC